TTCCAGAGCATTTAAAGCCTATAATGAGCTATGAAAGCACTAGATATTTTTTTATGTCTCCGTGGATTAGAAGAGGTGAGCCAGAATCTAAACCTTTGGTCATATGGGGTTATTCGATTTCTTCCCGGGAGGGTACTAAAGAAACGAATAAACCACCCCAAAACATATTGTCAAGGAGTACAACTTCGAGTTCAACTGGCTCTCAGTTACCACATAAGTCTTTCCAAACCATGGACACGACTCCGGGCTCAATTGGCTGTCGGTCACCAAATACGCCTTGTTCGACTGTTTCTTCTGTTTTCGGTTGCTTAAATCCATTTCGGGTGGCGGGTATGCATACGATAAGAGAGTTTCCTGAGAAATTCGAATCAGAGACCTTGGAGTCTGATGAGAATGAATTACAAGCATCGGCATCTTTAATGGGCTGTTTTGCTTGGTCTAATTTTCGAAAATCTTCTTGTGTCGAGACGGATAAACCCAGGGCAGCAAGTGAACCACAACAAGCAAGCAAGCCAAAGCCTTAATTGGGAATTTCTCCACTTGCTTTGCCTGCGGCAGCCCCTCTTTTGCCAAAGAGGGGTAAACCCTGAAATTACAGCGTTAAGTTGTGATAAGTTGTGATTTCTTTACCGATAACTGTTGTTATACCAGTAGTACCGCACAAGGCGGTGGCGGAAGTTTCAAAAATAGGAAACCCATAGGAGAGATTGACTGTTGTGAATCAGGGATGGCAGAGCGAATCCACTGATGGACCGAAAGGTGCTTGAGGTCTCCTCTCTTTCTCTCTCTTTCTCTCTCTTTCTCTGACTATCTACTTACCTACCAGCCTATCTTCTATGTATCTATCTATCTATCGATGTATCTATCTCTCTCTTTCTCTCTTTCATCTCATTACCTATCTACCTATCTACCTATCTACCTATCTACCTATGTACCTATCTACCTATCTATCTATCTATCTATCTATCTATCTATCTATCTATCTATCTCTCTCGCTCTCTCTCTTTCATCTGTCTATCTGTCTAGCTGTCTACCTGTCTGTCTATCTATCTGTCTATCTGTCTACCTGTCTGTCTGTGGTGCAGTGTCATTCAGTGTAATGTAGTGTAGTGTAATGTAGTGTAGTGTAGTGGAGTGTAGTGGAATGTAGTGTAGTGTAGTTGTAGTTGTAGTGTTGTGTAGTGACATTTCGTGTAGTGGAGTGTAGTTGTGTAGTCGTAGTTGTAGTTGTAGTTGTAGTGTAGTGGAATGTAGTGTAGTGTAATCTAGTGAAGTGTAGTGGAAGGTAGTGTAGTGTAATGTAGTGTAGTGTAGTGGAGTGTAGTGTAGTGTAATGTAGTGTAGTGTAGTGTAATTTAGTGTAGTG